CAGCCTGGTTTAACCCTCTCCAGGATGAATCTGTTTGTTTTCCTAGCAGTCCATGGTACACTCAATACTCTTCTCCAGCACCACAGCTCAAAGGCATTTCAAATCTGACTGGTACAGGAAGAAATTGTTCCACCTTCTCCAGCAGAGCCTCTGGTGGATTTAAACCATGCACCTCTGGGATTGCAGTGCAGCTTCTTGTCAGTAGGCCACTAGAGCTCTCTAAAATTGTTAAAAAATGACTGGAGCAGTAAATAAACAGAGAACTGTCAAAAGTTCAAGCTGGATTTAGAAGAAGCCATAGCACCAGGATATCATTGTTAATGTCAGATGGATCTTTGCAGAAAGTATGGAATGCCAGAAGAGTATCTATTTGTGTTTTATTAGCTATGCAAAAATATTTCATCATGTGGATCATAACAAATTATTGTTAACATTGAGGAGAATGGTAATCGCAGAACAAATAATTGTGTTCCTGCGAGACCTATACCTAGACCAAGAGGTTGTGGGGAGAATAGACCAAGGGAACACTGTCTCCTATAAGAAGGGGCCACTCCCTGGAGAAATACATCATGCTTAGTATATAGTAGAGAGCAAAAAACCAAAGACCCTTGGTGAGAGAGATTGACACAGTGGCTGCAACAATGTTTCAGCATAGTTGTCATTATGAGGGTGGTGCAGCGTGAGGGTGTGTTTTTTTCCTGCTGTATATAAGATAACATTAACCATACCTGACTCAATGACATATAATAATAATTAATACTAATACTAATACTAATACTACTAATAATATGATGTGTTATTGTGTGCCATTGAGTCAGGACTGACTGATAGCTGACCCACCGTGGATTTTCAGAGGCTTTGAATAACATGGGAGGAGACTTCTCATCTTTCTCCTGTGGAGTAGCTGGAAGGTTCAAACCACTTGCCTTAGGATTGACAGCACAACTTCTTCTCTTGAAGATGATTGGTTCTATAAAACAGTCTTCATCTTTCTCTAGTCACTGTTTTAATTCTGCTGCATAAGATTGGATCTGAAGTTAATGACTGATTTTGTTTTATGTGAGGTGATGCTCTCACATTGGCGGAGGGTTTACTAGAACTAGATATTAGAACCCTTTACAGTTCCATAGTGGTGAAACTCACCAGGCTGAAGGTTTAGAATATCAGGATTTTGTCTGAAAGCCCAAGAATAGATTATACAGAAAAACACTGGTTAAAATTTGAGCTGAGAAAGAAGGAATACTATGGTAGGTGGCTTTGGCCAGGGATCTTATTTGCTTACCTCTCCCATTTCCCTTCAACCTGGCTATTTGTCTTTCTTTTTGTGATATATTGTGTGTATGTGGTGATGAAAGGATAAGTTCTATCTATTAAAGACATCAACTTTTTTTAGAGATGCCTGAGACAAGAAGGTATCTCTTGATCAGTAAGATATGTTCTCTTATACTGAAACAAACCTGTAAGTTAGAGGAAATAGTGCATAGGAAACACTGCTCTGTTTGATGGAGTATGACAAAACTGAGAGGAGAGGGGCATTGCTCAGGAGCAGAGGCAAGAGTGTCTGGCACATCTAGGAAAATTCTTTGGAAAGAAAACATAGCACAGATGCTTTTAGCATAAAGAATTTGCCTAGCAGATATGTTTCAACCACTACTCATCAACTTCCAAGTTCCCCATATAACATTGAAAGAAGTGGAAATGAATGATCCAAATGTCTAGGAATTACTGTTTCTAAGGGTACAGTTTAACTAGAACGAAAATACATGAGGCACGGAGGCTTGAGTGTGGTTGTTCAGGGATAGCTCATGATGTTTCAGAGGTTGAAACACTAAGTGAATACGTTGAATACTATCAAGTTGGGAACAACTCATAGATGACCTTCCAGCCAGCTTTCAGACTCGGTTAATTGTATGGGAGGAGATTGCCTATCTTTCTCCAAGAGAGCAGCTGGCAGATTGGCACTATTTGCCATTTTTGTTGACAGTACAGCTCCTTTACCCACATTATGCTGAGAGAAATATTTCAGTCACAAAAGGAAAAATAAGGCATAGTGCCACTGTTACTAAAGAGGACTGGCATAGGGGTTGGGGGAGACTGAGAAAGACGGGATCAATAATGTATACTGCATTGAAACAGATGAGGGAGAGAACTGTTTAAAAGGGGTATATGATTATATATTATTGTTATGACAGGAGTCCAGAACGAAGGTAGCACAGTGGAGTGGACTTGGGGAGATGGATTGAAGAACAATGAAAGCATTTTTTCTTCTACTTTTCAAAAAGAAAAGCAATCTGGGGAGAGGGATGGGCAGGGAGAAAAGTACAACAATGAATGAATGGAAATCCAAAGTCTCTGTAAAGTTTCATTAAAGTCAACTTAAAATTTTAAAAAAGTAAACCCTGCTACTTCACTGATGCATTTATTCTAAACACAGATTCTCTGAGCCACTTCTTTAGTGTTTCAGCTTCCCTTCTCATCCACTACTTCCACAGACAACTTTATGGATACTTAGAAAGTCTGAAAATTCAGTTTCTATCCCCAGATTAGGGAGCTCTGGTGGCCCCATGGGAAAGGAGTTGCACTGCCAACCCTTACATGCAGTTCAGGTTCTCCAGCTTCTCTGTGGGTGGAAGACTGGCAGTCTTATCCCAGGCTATTTTCAATTTCCTGAAATCTGCTGGCAGATTAGCTATGAGTCAGTTCCAACTCAGGGGCACATAATGGCAACTACGTTTCAAAATTATTTCTGCCTGGCAAATAACACATGAAGCACCTCCTCTCTGATCTGTTTGGTCTTGATTCCATAAATGATGGGATTCAGCATAGGTGGAGCTATTATACAGACATTAGTTAGCAAAATGTGGATATAAGGAGGGATGTGGCGCCCAAATCTATGAGTAAGGGTTGTGAAGATCCCTGGCCCATAAAATAAGATGATGACACAGACATGGGAGCCACAAGTATTGAGAGCTTTGTGACGAGCGTCTTGGGAGGGCATTTGGAAGACAGTACGAAGAATCAATATATAAGAAACGAAAATGAGCACAACATCTAAGAGAACCGTGAATATTAGGACAGAAAGACCATACCAGATGTTCACTTGAATGTCATTACAAGCATATCTGGCCAAACCAATGTGTTCACAGAAAGTATGTGGAAGTACATTATTTTGGCAGAATGTCAATCTTTTCAAAAGAAATATTATGGGGAAAATGGAACCATAACTTCTCAAAAAGATGCTCACACCAATTTTTCCAATCAGAGTGCGTGTAAGAATAGTCATGTATCTCAGCGGGTAGCATATGGCAATGTAGCGATCAAATGCCATCACCAGCAAAATCCCTGACTCAGAGATGAAGGTAGAGTGGGTACAGAAGAGCTGGGCAATGCAGCAATCCAGGGAGATCTCTCCAGCCTGAAACCAGAAGATGGCCAAGGCCTGCGGTACTGTGGTTGTGGAGAGGACCATGTCTGCTCCAGCCAGCATGCAGAGGAAGAGGTACATGGGTTCGTGGAGGCTGCGCTTTGTGAGGATAATGAAGATGAGCAGGCTGTTCCCAAGCAGGGCTGTGACATAGGAAATGAAGAAGGGGATGGAAATCCACATGTGCTGGTCCTCTAGGCCAGGGATGCCCAGCAAGCGGAAGACTGTGTGACTAACACCAGTGAAATTTAATATTTTCATGTCTGGGTTCACCAGCAGGGACTCACCTCCTGTTCACAGAGACAGAACAAAAAGCAGATTGGCCATGAACATTTTATCTGAAAACAGGAGGCATTTTTGTGATATTCTGTAGTGTCCATCTTTGATCAATAAAATAGTAAGAAGCAAACGAGAGAAATAAGGTAACAACTCCAGTGAATGGTAATTCAATTAAAAGTAATGCATATATATTCAATTAACAAAATTTTTGTAGGTATTTTTTTCTAAAATAGAGTGTCACAATATGTAAAGAAAATGATTACATGTATCTTTCATGGCTATAAAAATATTATGTTTGGCTTTGTGATTCATTAGTTTTTCATAAAGAAAGGGATGAACAGATAGAGAAACAGCATAAGAAAAACTGAGGGGTCAGAAAAGTACACACTGGGTTTATGAACAATTCATCCCAAAATGTCTGCTGCTAGAAAATGCTGGAGTGAGATAGAGGAGGGGTTATTGATGCAGATTTGTTTTGACTGTGAAGGGTTTTGATCGCTGCTGGACACTTGGAATCCAATTTTGCACAGGGCACAGCTATCAAATGCTGTTTCCTCACCTGTGAAGAGAGGTCAAGAGACCTTGAGAGGGTACCGTTGGCATGGTCTGTGGGCCTGAATGGTGAGTGCACCTTAGAGAAGTAAGTGTACAAATGATTGAAATTAGGAAAAAGAACAAAAGAAGGTTCCATAATGGTGTAGTTCATAGACAGTGGAGCTCCTATCCCAAAGGCTGACCCTCTCTGGTGATTCGACTCTAGAGGGAGAAAGATGGGGGTTCTCTTCCTGTATGATTTATCACCTTGGAAACACAATAGGAGCTGAGGTAGCGGTAGGGAATCAGCAGTAGTTAATTTCTACTCAGTTTAATGCTTGCTATTTGGAAGATTTTTTATTAACATAGAATTAAAACTTACTTCTTAGTTTCCATCCTAGTGCACTTTTACTAGTTTCAGAAAGCATATTTTGAAAGGTGAATTTCTTTCATCACCATGTAGTGTAAACTGAATCTTAGATCAAGGTCAGACAGATTGAACAAAGAGGGTACCTTGTGCAAAGGGAGTAAATTCCAATCCTATTTTCATTGAATGAATGAAAAAATGAAAACATGTATAGAACATTCTCTTCGTAGTGCTTCTGAGAATATTAAATTTCAGGATGTCTTAAAATATGCAGCCCAATTACTAATATTAAGTTCATTCATATTATTTTTTTCTCTTGTACCTTGCCTTTTCATTCTGTAGAGGAAGCTGTACTACTACCGTGTTCTTAGTGCTGGCACAAATTGTTCTTCCATTGACGTTGACCAGATGAAGGAGTCCAGTCCTGCTGGTCTTGGGACAGAGAAAGGCCTCTTGTGCAGTGTACATTCATTGTGATACAGTTCTCTTCAGTGAGGGCAGCTCTTCTCCCATGGAACATAGATGGAAGAGCATGGGAGGTGTGTGGGAAGCATGCTCCCCACCAAGCGGCCCAGGAAAGGACAGATGAATAAAAGCAAGAATGAAGGAGCCAGAAGAAACAGCAAAGATTTGAGAGGAGGGAGATTACAGAAAATTATAATGACAGTGTGTCAGGGGAGGAGAAAGACCAGGAGAAATGTGAATCAGAAGAGCCAGAGAAAAAGGTCAGATTGCTGGGATATGAGAGATTTCCCTGTGGGATTAGTTACTTCACTTTCATCTAATAAGAATTTGCCCTAAAAATCCCCATTCAAATGCCATAGCCACATTAATATCTTCTCAAATATATGTGAGACATCCTTATCGTGTTCCTAAAGTCCCTCCAACACCCTGCTTGAGGCAGCCCAGCATAGGTTCCTGCCTTTCTCAGGGTTCCTCACATGTTTTGCCAATTGAAGTCTGTCATCTATGATAACATCTACGATTTCTGTTTTTATGCTCAGTCAGGATTGTTGTTGTTACCGTCAAGTCAGAACCGACCCATAGCTGACCCTTCAATAGATTTTCAGAGGCAGTTAGTTAAACAGAAGGGAGGAGATTGACTGTTGCTGTTTTTGTTAGGTGTCATCAAGCCAAGTATTATCCACAGCGACCTTATGAACAACAGATCTGAACCCTTTCCTGTCCTGTGCCATCCCGCAATCTCTGACCCACTCGAGCCCATTGCTGTGGTCACTGTGTCACTCTACCTAGCCCTCATTTTTTGCAGAGCATCTGTTCATTTACCAATCTCGAGTAAACTTTAGCTAGCCCACATGCCCTTCCTCATCCTTCCCAGACCTCATGCTACTTCTAATTTATAAAACCCCCCTCTATCTATCTATCTATCTATCTATCTATCTATCTATCTATCTATC